CGAATCTTATTCTTTCTAATATCACAGGGCATTCAAATACAGACTTCAAATCAAAGACTCGACATTTTTACCAAAGTTCCCTTCTTTCAAGAGCTATAGACAATCAGTGGCGTAGTAGGGTCCAGCCATCGATGGGGCACTGTGTCAAGGGAGGGGCATCAAGCTTAGACCTGTTGGTGTGAGAGTAGAGAATGGAGTGGAACGTATCGGCCTAGTTTCACCTCGCCTTCCCTTCCCCTTCAGTCTCCTTTATTTTGCATCGCCATTCGATAGGGGCACGTTTCCCTCCTCCCCCCCCCCCCCCCCCTCCGTCACACACCTTCCCAGAAGCTCCGCCATTAAGCACAAGTGTACGTAGGCCTAAACAGTCGAGTTGCTGTACGTGATTTTGTTAACAACACTTTTTCCCCGAGTCTGCCACATGATGACGTCATCATTCTTGAACAGTCTGTATCCATCATCGTGTACTCTCGTATCAGACATGTTGTTCAGGATGGTAACCATGGTAACAGGATAGGCAACTATTTCCCCTATACAACGGCATTATCATCCTCCCTAAGACCCATACAGACTTCGTCTAGGATAACACCTGTTCAAGGTCAATACAGATTTTATACTTTGAAACTTTTATCTGATATTTTTCATCAGATCCTTTCAAATTTGTATGCAGGTAGCTTCTTGACAATTTTACCGTTTTATATTAGTTGTTTCTTCTCAAAAGAAAGACAGGAAGAAAGAAAGAAAGAAGGAAAGAAAGAAAGAAAGAAAGAAAGAAAGAAAGAAGAAAGAAATTGCAAGAAAGAGAAAAGACAGAAAGAAGGAAAGAAAGAAAGGTGATGTAATCATATATTATTTCGTTGTGTGAACAGATTCGTTTTCCTCTCATTCCTAGCACTTGAAAAAAAAACAGTAGGACAGTGGGCAACCATTTTGTTTTTCCTTTCAAAATTTCGACATCAAACTTAACTGATCCACGACCATGTTTCACAAGAATTGGATATCATCAGTGAACATTTTTACACTGAGGATTTCATCCCAGGTAATAGACCAAAATAATGCTATACATTTAATGGTGGATCCAGAATTAATGTAGATCACATGTTATCAAACTTACTACTAAGAGTGTCTATACAGGATACGACATAAAATACGTCACGATGACGTCATCATTTGACCATGATGGTATCCGACTAGACTACTATAGGGACCTCGGTCTTGTCTAGAGCAGTATCGTTTCGATAATAATGACAATTATGATCTCCTCTATTACGATTAACAGATAGTAGTAAGGTGATAGGTCAAGATACAGGTGGTTTCGGCCTATATTCTTGTTTTAACATTAGGTTGACCTTAGAGGCTTTTTTTTATATTTTTTGAAATATATTTTAGGCTTCGTCTTTGTTTTGTGTTGTACTTGGGGGGGGGGGGTATTACGATAATATTTATTCATTCAAAGTAATTGAGTTGTGTATATTGTGTACTCTATATGTTATGTATTGCAATTTGAAATAAGTTGAATGATGTACATGTATTGAATAAATACAATAAAGAATACTACAAAACAAAACAACCCATACAAATTACCATTACTCTGGGATATGTTTTGGGTGATTTATAGTTATCAATGTTTTTATGTTGTTTATCTTCATATATATATAGGATTATTGTGCTATCTGTTTGAACAACGTGCTATTATCATCCTCGTACCATAATACGTTTTCAGGTATTCAACTACAACGGAAATAAAATATGTGCATTACGTTTGTGCGTTACATTACCATGTACGTATATACTTGAGAGCATATACAGTGTAACCTGTCTATAAAGACCATCTAAGGGAAACACAAAATGTGGTCTTTGTAGACAGGGGGTCACTGAACCAGGTTTGACTGTACTACTCTTGTGCATTAATTGTCATTGCATTTGATTTAAAACGACGGGGTTTCTCTACTGCATAATGAAATATTAATAGATATCTCGATTGTATACAAATCTTATGATTATTTTTCCCATTTAAAGATATCGAAACAAAACGTTAGCGTATAAGTCTTTGTTTTATTCCGTCTAAATATATGAAAACATTAATAGAAAATCTAAATAAAAGGTGTATACCTTGGACATCGCGATTTAAAAAAAAAATCAATCCTACATAAAGAAACTGGTTAAACTGTTGTGTATATTTATACTAAGACAAACTACAGTGGTCTAGTTACAAAAATATGATCCTATCTTTTGCTGATAATAACCACCCCTTCCCAATATAGCCATAAAATATACTTTATTATTAGTCTCCATGAATATTATGACAATGTATTCGTAAAGTAAGGAAAACTATGCAGGAACACAAGACGTCATCATGTGTTTGAGATATATTGGATTTCCTTCTCAGTCCTGTGATGTCTTCTCGCATTACTGACCATGACATTGTATACAGTGACCATAGATAACAGTCCCACTGTACAGGAAATCGTGTAAGGAAATCGCTAACTGATCAAAGACACTATACAGATAACGCGTTGAATGGTCTATTCCGATCCAGAAGGGATAGTTTTTAATTAGATAAACATTTGTAGTGTGTATACTAGTATAATGAATATAAAGAATACCTTTGTTGAGAAATATATAATATTACGAGCCTCGGGTATTTTGTAACGCTGATTCGACCTCATATTACACCGACTCCTACATTTTGAAGGCCTACTATTTGTTTTAATCTACGTAATATAGATGTAGGTACTATTTACCGCTGTGATAGCCAGTGTATATGTAGTAAAATATATAATTGTTGATTAAACAATAGTTATTCATTTTTTCTTGAAACAAGTTTAGAAAAATACGATTCATATATGATAATTCAAGATTGCTGCTACTTATAACACTGTATTGAGTTGATGACAACACCAAAGTACAGAGATGACTTAGTACCTTCAAGTACCTACACATGCAGTACTTAAGCAGCAGTTGTTTAACTTGAAGACAAAGAAAGAAACAGATGAGAGGGGTCGGAGAGAAGGGGATGAAACATGTATGAATAAAGGGAGAAGCAGAGGGGACCAAAAAGATACAGGGAAAAACAGACAGTTTTTAACTTGCAGAGATCCTATATATCATTCATAGGGCTACAAATATGAATCATTAGATCACGTGACAGCTTCCTTTAAAAGACCCGACTCTTACCCATCCCTCTCATACCGAGTTTAGCCGAATGACCTTGATGTGTATTCTGACCACACCCAATTGACATTTAAAGCAGAAGTGGGGTTTGGAAAAGTTACAACATGTTGTATGGCAAATATCCTAGACTATTAACCGAATTTCTAACTTCAACCTCGGACCATATACCTAATATTATTCCTAAACATAACCTAACCTAACACCCTATTGTAACACTAGACCTACGTTCCTATAACCGGCCTATATTTTATAAAGTAAAGCACATGACAATCGATGTCGAAGAACAGGAGAACGAGTAAAACATCTAGTGCATCTCGACGGTTCACGCTCGAACAGATAAGAAGCTAAAAAGGTTTTAATAAATGCTGAAAAAATGTATCTTTAGGTTGTTTTAAACATTATTAAGCAACCCCTTTAAAGAGATATAAACATTTATTGTAGGTCAGAATATGAATACTTCACATTTAAAGAAATGTATGTTTAGTCCTACCTGTTATTATTCAAAATTGCGTAAAGAACTTCCCGCCCCCCCCCCCCCCCCCCGATGTCGATTGCACATCGATACTCGAGAGCAGTCATGTTGCATAATACATGTCCTATATTCATAGACCACAAAACAACTCACATGTTAACAGCGGACGTGGAAACTGTTATGCATTATGGGCAGATCCCCCCCCCCCCCCCATTTTTCTAGAGGGAGAGAGAGAGAGAGAGAGAAAGCGTGCATACATATACATACATACAATAAACAAAACAAACAAACGCAAAACTTGTTTTCATTTGCTCAGGATTCGCTTTTTGGCTATTAGCCTCGTTCTTTGCAATATGCTTACTGCATTGAACTTTAAAGGTCAAACACATTGTAACGTATTTTGTCAGAGGGAAATAAATATGATTTCATTCAATGTAGTAACACAACGGTGGAGCGCCAGGAGTGTCAAGTATGACAAACATGAACAAGTTTATGATATCAATATTAATACAAAACGTGTCCCTACCATACGATTTCGTGTGTATCTTTAACTATCATGTTTATGATGAGCAATGTTTTACTCCCCTTCTGTCACCCCCCCCCCCCCCCACAACCCCGAGGGTAAACCAACGCTTCTGCTGTCAACTGCGCCCTTCCTATCGCCTTCAGTATGTCGACAATCATTACACAACCTATGGAGAAATGTTTTAGAAAGGTGTTAGGCAAACATGTGCGACACCCTAGAACCTATCATATCCGTGGGTTCTTGTGGTTAATATGCAGATAAGCAGCGAAAACCACCAGTTAAACTATCATATTTTATTGATTTTGATTCTACTTTGACCGGGTATGTTTTTGCTCTCTATTTGAAAATGATTAAATCATTCTGTTGATATCAATTTTCATATCTATTTTCAGTGCCAAATCCATTAACATTTTAGTTCTTCATTCATTTTAGGAAGTGCTATTCTTGAAATATATGGCTGTTTATTCTGAACTCATTCGAATCAACATAATACTAATGAACGATATTGACAATTAGCATTTAGTATGTAGTCATAGAAAACTATATCACATCGTTTATAAATACATTTGTTTACAACCTTAAAAACTTTAAGGCTTGGCCATGACATCGCTCGAAGAGTTGTTTTTACAAAGGAATTGGAACAGTTGCCAAATGCAATTTCATGAGCATGCGTAGAAAATCATGCTGATCGAAAAAAATACAACTTCATTATATATAATATATATGTTTTTGGTGACGTACTTGTATATGTACTCAATTCATAGGATATTTGTTCATATTTTATGATAATTACTTGCTCTGTCAATGTGATTTATAAAACAGACTTACCCCATCGCTGTGCCAATACCTCACAGCTTAACACCGCGAGAAGTATGAACAACGTCGTATGAACCCAATCCATAATTGCTATCTGAGATTAGTATTCCTTCATAAAACTTCCAAAAGTCAGTATTTCAGCAACATTTGGAACTTGTTGTCATGCAGCACCTCGGCCTTTTTGAGTATTCCAGATAAATGAAGATTTGTAGGCACGTATTTCATTCCTTTCTTATAAAGGAACTGTCAATGTTGCTGCTCCGCTCAAGGAAAAGAACTCCTCCTAAATCAACAAAGTGAAACTAAGTTTGGACATCAAAGGGAATGTCCAAAACTTCATGAAATTCGAGTTTGCCACCACAAATCGTCCCAAGTAAGTTGACGCGTATTCCTTCGCACAAATTAGACTGATGTCAGATTATTCCAGTCAAAATAAACAATTATCCCCGATGTGATTGAAATTCAAGTTCAAATCTTATAGAGGGAACGTCAGACATCATACAGTAAGTTGCAAAGAAGCCAAAAAGGAAGCGCAATTTTTTTTTTTGACGCACAGAATCCCTAGTGTGGAAGTTTGTGCGTGCGTTTTGGCGGGTTTCGTTCTGTCGTCTGCACTAATACTGTATAGTGCTAGATACATTTTACATGTAGAAGGGGACGACTCTCTTTCCCTCTCTTGACTCATAGCGTGATTTCACAAGGTGTTTCCTGTCATGCACTCTCTCTCTCTCTCTCTCTCTCTCTCTGGTCTATAGCAAACAGGGGAACCCTTAAAGGGTAGTAGTTTGAGATTAAAGCTTACCTAAAACAGTTTTTTTTTTTTTTTTTTTTTTTTTTTTTGGGGGGGGGGGGGGGTAAAACTGTAGTGCAAATGTCAATTACATAATGACTTTGACTATCTCTCTCTCTCTCTCTCTCTCTCTCTCTCCCTTTCTCCCCTCTCTCTCTCTCTCTCTCTCTATCTCTCTCTCTCTCTCTCTCGATCTATCCCTCTCTCTGTGTGCTTCTCTAGTCTATAACAAACAGTGAAACACCTAAAGGATAGCAATTAGAGATTAAAGCAAATGTGACAAAGTTAACAAAGCATAACTAAAACATGTTTGAAAATGAATGCGCGAGTGTCCAAAGATTAAAAAATGAAAACATCATTTTCACAAAAAGGACAATACACTAGAAAAGAGATTTTTCAATAGAAAGATATGCTATTATTGGTGTAGGCATTCAATATTGATTTAGTAATAAACCGCCATGTTGTTATCCCCACAATTTTTTCTTATCTCGCTTTGGTCGCTTGCTTACTTTGTTTCAATGAAAGAACCTAGTGGCATTATTAAATTCGAGCAACTTTTATTGAAAACTATCAACTACAACATGACTATTATTCGAGATAATTAACCACTCAGTAACCTGTTCACCTTTACAAGAAAATGACATCATGATTATTAAATGACGTAAGCTTACCCATTTCCTTCCATACCGATGAAATCATGGCTACTCGACATAAAACCATACCAGTATCCAAGTATAAGACAGAAAACAATCGTATTTGGTAATTTTCTTAGAAAAAACATGTAGCATTTTTTAAAATCAGTCTGTATAAATTGTTTTGTTTAAGTTTGTTCAAACCTCTACCCCCTTTTAACACTTGCAATACATGTTTTCTGTTTTACTTCATAGAAAATATAATAAAATGTATAAAACCTATACCAATCTCTCTCCCTCTCTCTCTCACTCTCTCTCCGTCTCTCCCTCAACCTTTTCCTAAACTCTTTCTCCCTCTGTCACCCCGCCCCTCCCTTCGCCCACCCCACTTCCTTCCACGCTTCCTCATGTCCAAGACCCCCCCCCCCCTCCTCTCGAGAAACAGATACTTGTTTTCCTGATTTAGAACGGAATCAGCGATGTGACAAATCGCATATCCTTACCACTCCGCCATCACACATGCACATCCTGTTAATAGACCAACTCAGAACAAGCAGAATGTTAACTCTTTGTTAAACGCCGTTCTAGCTACAAACAGACATTATCTTTTCCCTTATTTTTTCTCAACCATCAAGAGGTGACATTGTCATGTTGTCGAGGGTTTCAAACGCCCGACTGTGGATGGGAAGGTAACGGGTTCGAGGCCCTGGCATAGCAATGACGTTCCTGTAAATACATTTGTCTCACTCGACCCAGGTGTAGTAAGTGGGTATCCGGTCAGTTAAAAGGGTGTAATAAACATTAGCAGCTGATAACGGTTGTTGGAGATAAAGACGGCATAAACAAACTAAAAATACAACTCTTTTTAGAAGCACCTATACGTGTATAGCTTGAAGAGTTATGATCACTACATGGGACATTTTCCCCAATCAATAATTTAATGAACATTATTTTTCCTTTTTTATTATCAAAATCATTTTTCCTTTTTTATTATCAAAATCATTTTTCCTTTTTTATTATCAAAATCAGTATTATGAAATATGTATTTACACTGTAGGAAGGTGGCGAAATTCCTCCAAAGTGCGACCCTTTTATTATGGGCTCCCCGTAACAAAAAAAGACATATATCAAAATTGAATTATAATTTTTGTTGTTAGTGTTCCCTTTTCCCTACTAGTTAGAAATTAAAAAGCTCGTTTGGGCTTGTATGTTTTATATTGTGAATATTTCATTTTTTTTCTTTCGATGGAGCATCTCCCGCATCCCCTCGCCCCTTCGCCCTCGCCCCTTCGCCCTCGCCCCTTCGCCCTCCCTCCCTCCCTCCTCCCCCTCCCCCTCTCTCTCTCTCCCTCCCTCTCTCCTCTCTCTCTCTCTCTCTCTCTCTCTTCTCTCTCTCTCTCTCCCTCTCTTCCTCTCTCTCCCTCTCCCCGTCTCTTTCTCTTTCTCTCAGTGTCTCTCTATTTTTCCCCTCACCTTAATCAGTGCAAAGGCTAAAGATTTAACAAAACAGTGGCTTTTCTAGATACCATCGACGGAAGTGCAATGTTAAACACTAATCCTTCTTTTCACAATGATGTGTAGAATAATGCCGACAGAATGTTTGACGTCGATCCAAAATATTAGCCTCCTAAAGTTGTGTGATAATCATGTTTGAAATGAGTAAATATAAATGCAAGAGATTTTCTAAAGACAAAAGGTAAAGATTTATTCCGCATCAGGATTACAATCTACGTCAAGAAAGAAATGCTATTTTAAAGATATATTTTTTAATTTCATTAGGTAATATGACTGTTTACTAAATACAGAGACTTGACAGATATTATGTAAAGTTGTACTCAACAAGATTATCCATGAATTGTTTAGTTTTGTACGGTGAAAAACTAGGAACAAAAGCTTACATTCACTGAACTTAAACTTAAGTTCAGAACACAATCTGACACAGTTTTTTTATACAGCATTTTGAACTATAAATTACGAAAGATTTAGAATTGTGAAGTGTTAAAAGAATTTTGTTTGTTTTCTATTGCACAAAATTATTTGTAGCAGTGTGACGTTTAGCAGAGAGAAAATATTATAATTCGATTCTTAAAATGACCTCAAGAAATAATGCTTTATGTCCACACTACTTTATACAAAACATACTTTCTTGCCCAAAGTCGTTTCCCCCCAGAGATGGCGCTAGACGATACATCTCATAATGTGCTACGCAGAATCGTCCAACCATTCTTTTTTTTCCCCTTTTTTTTTGGGGGGGGGGGAGGGGTGATATTGATTGTCGAGCCATTATTATGTCTATGAACGTTTATACGGTTCTCTTGAGCATCATAAAGCTGCAAAGAGATCCTATATTGGAAAACTAAAATAGGATCTGTATGTAAAGCTGGTCTAGCGCCATCTCTCGGGGAAAATGACTAAAAGTCAAGACAGTATTTTACAGTTAAATTTACAGTAAATTACAGCTTGCTATTCATAATTGTTGTTATTGACCATGTCGACGAATCAATCCTGAAATGTCAGTTGATAAAGTTAAGCCCTTGAATATGTTTTAGCTCCAGAATGTTTATCATATCTGACTCCAGATGCCGTCTGGCATTCCTCGCCAAGCAAGCATGCCCTCTCGTGGGCAATGTAGGTGACGCAAGAGCAAGTGACGTCAGCAAAGCAGTGTTGTGCGCATCCAATCAAAGAGGAGACTCGGAATGATGCATGCACGTAAGCATCGAGGAGTCTTGCATTGTCGGCCGAGAGCTTTAAGATTGTGGAAGTACGCTTCAGAACTGCAATGACAACATAACAACTTACAACAATATGAAATATATGAATACATTACAGAACAACGGACCTGGAATTCCAAAATCAAATATTATTTAAAGGTGCTATGTCCCATTTGCAGCCAACATCAAATTCTGTAGAACTTTGCAGAATTATGAATATGTCACATAATCCTATCTTTGATATTCAAACGTAAGCAGTGTCCTAGTATTAAAATTATGCAAGGAAACCCGTTTACTTTCTAGACTCCACTGTCACACACTATTAAGTGAGTGACTGACTTACTTCATTTTTTCGTTGGTAATAACATACGTAAAATGAGCTGTAAAATTTACATATGCATTTTGTCTACATCAATAACCCACTTCTTGTAATGGCCAAAATTAAACTGATTGAATCTTTGCGCAGCACAAAACATACACCATTCTGTACAAGGGTACTATTCAAACTATTTACTAAAACGATTGCAATCCCTAAACTTTCGATTAGACAACTAAAGGTTGTTATTTTCCCACAAAAAGGAATTTTCAAGCCCTTTCGTTTTGAGGGAAGTTCTGAATTAGTATTATTTTCCAAATGCCGGAAGATAATGCTGGAATTAACCTTTTCATTTTTTGGCCTGCAAATGGGACATAGAGGAGGCGAGTTGGCTCAGTCGGTAAAGCGTCTGCCTGTCGAACCAAAGATCTCGGGTTTGCATCCAACCCAGGCGGGTGACTGAAGCCTGCGTTGAGTGTTAACGTGCCCCTCCCGTTATTTCATAGACCCAGGCTATGTTAAGTGGAAAACACCCCGTCCCTCGGATAGGACGTTTAATAGAGGCCCCGTGTAGAGGAGAGTCACCACTTTTGCACGTCAAGAATCCAATGCACTATTCTTATAGAAGTAGGGGGAAACCCCGTTGTAGTGATCCACCTACACACCCCAATCAGTTATAGCGGGAGGAGAGACCCAAGGGTTACAGTGATTCAGCTCGCTTTTCGCCTCCCATCGGCACAGGTGACGCTAAATACATAATACTAACAATAATAATAGCACCTTTAAGGAAGTGCGCATGAATCATCTTTTAAATGTGAATAACTGAAACGGAATTTTTTACATCCACTTAAAGCGTGATCTAGATGATATGTTTACCTTGATCTCTAGGTGACAAGGTTGCAGTCGTAGGTACTGACTGGGTAGTGGGTACAGGTGACGGGTCGGGTGTTGCAGAAGTGCATTCTGTCGACTCCTCACAAGTCCCTGAGGTTTGCCCTGTCGCAGTGGTAGATGTTGCTGGTTCTTGCGCTGGTGTTGTTGATGACGATGATGCGATGCTTGTGGACACGTCGTTTTCATCGTTTGTTGTCATCGACGGTCCGGAGGAACCACTTGGGGGAACTTCCGTAACCATGGCTTCAGTGAC